AAATAAAAAATTATTTAAGTACAATATTTTGACAAAAAATGAACGTAGAATGACCCATTTTCAAAATATTCTCCTTTTGTGAAAAATGCTTCTATTATAATAATATTTTGCCTGTATATAGCTCAGACCTCTGTACAGAGGCTCAACTAGAGTTTTTGAAATATATAACTTAGAACTAGGTTTTTCCGTGTTTTACGACAACAGAGGGGAGAAATTTTAAGAAAAAAAACACTGGTAATTATTTCAATTGGTTGTAACTCTGAAAATAATGTGAATTTTTCAAAAATCATAGTTGAGCCTCTGTACAGAGGTCTGAGCTATATACAGGCAAAATATTATTATAATAGAAGCATTTTTTAATTCCTATCTACTAATATACGAACTTTCCTTATAGCCTGTATAAATTCGCTTACCGCTATATCCTAGGTAAACAGCTACAGTCCTTATCACTTCTGTTGTGGCTTTAATCCTACTATGTTCCTTTTGGTCTCGGACCCACTTTTGGTCCGTCTGTACCGGCAAGACTAGGCTAATTCCCGGACTTAGAATTCTTCTAAACTTTATCACTTTACAGCTACCTCTATACTTAGCGACTTCACTTCCCACTTAGCAATCACTTCTGCTCATAGACATCACGCGAATGCTAACTTCCAATATATATACGATTCCTAATTTACATAACCACGTTTCTCTTCTTGAGTTGGTTGGAAACCAACCATTCTGGCCCCAAAGAACCCAAGAGGACAGTTAGATGAAATCGCGATGAAAGCCCCGTCACAGTGTGTTCGTAATGTCTGTAACGGATAAGTATAATTAAGAGAAATTAGAAATCAAGTAATAGTCTGTGAGCAAGAGCAAAGAAATTAAAGTTGTTTTTAATCTTTTTCTTCTAGGGAGCAGATATCATAGTTTTCCCTGAAACTGGATTACTTCCATTTGTAAAACCAAGTCGTGAATGGATGCTAAACGTTATTGAAGACATTCCTGATCCAAAGAAAGTGGATGTTAACCCGTGTAAAGAGGAAAGTCAGTTCCACAATCTTACAATTCTGAGAAGATTAAGTTGCTTAGCCAGAAATAATCATCTTTGGGTTGTGGCAAATGTAGCAGATTATACAAAATGTGACATAAATACCAATTGCATTAGGAATAAAAATAGCGAAAACTGTACTTCATGCCCAGATGATGGCTATTTCTTGTTCAATACAAACATAGTATTCAACAGAGACGGAACACTTGTGGCTAAATATAACAAAAGACATCTTTTCTTTGAAGCGGAAATGAACATCCCTGACATTCATGAACATATATATTTCGATACAGAATTTGGAAAATTTACTACGGTAATTTGTTTTGATTTAATATTCAAAGAAGCCGTAAAAGCTCTTGAAGAACCTGGTGTTCTCAATATTGCCTATCCGACATACTGGTTCGACCACACACCATTGATATTCTTTTCCTTGGCTTTGCAGCAAGCTTGGTCAATGGCTAACAATGTAAATCTAATAGCAGCAAATGTACACTTCCCGCCAACAGGTTCTATAGGGAGCGGTATTTATTCACCGAAGATTGGTGCTCTGGTATACACTAGTAACCCAGATGGTCGAAGTAAGCTTCTCATTTCAAATGTTCCAACGAGGCCAAATAGTTCCATCCATACGAATGATTTAGAACCCCAAAAATTTTTTATCGAAAATGGTAAAGCTATTCCAATAGAAGGCGAAGAAACATCTGTTTATGAAAAAGAATGTTTAACCACCGTTCTTCAGGATCCTGAAATTTTGACGGATTTTCGTTGTAGTCCAGTACCCTTGGATCATTATCAGTTTAAAAAATTAAAGAAACTCGAAGACGACATAGAAATTTGTGACAGTAACTTTTGCTGTTCCCTTTCTTATCAAGCTGAGTCTATGGACGAAGAATATTTCTTTGGAGTGACCGCACAAGTTACGAATGTGCTCAACATATTCGAAATGGGTTCTCAGACATGCTTTTTAGCTCGTTGCGAGCCAATCGAAGGAAAAGCGTGCACTAATTTCCTCTTAAAATCCTCCACTATTTTCCGAAGAGTTGAGATTAAAGGAAATTTTTCGACTGGTCAAATTCTCCCTTACGCAATTGACAGTGGCGTTAGCCTTACCAAGAAAGACAAGTGGTCTTTTGATAAAACACACATGATATACTCAAATTCTAATAAACAGTCGTCTCTTTTGTTCTTCGGGTTGCAAGGAAGACTTTTTGATCAAGATGCGGATATCTACATTCAATCGAATAAAGCACCTTACTTATCAAGCATTGGACATTTGTTAACCTTTGGATTTTGTTTGAGTATAATCTTTGTAATTTTTTAAATTAGAAGAGAGAAGTTTTTTTTCCAAGTTTTTTTGAATATCTAAATGTTTATGAATTGATAAACTACATTTGAATTGGATTAAAATATATAAAGCAGCTTGATAACAGATGAAAACATCCCTTTTTTCTTTTCTTCGCGCATTAGATAGTTTTTTTTTATTACAATCACACACTAAAGCAACGCGAGAACGTAATTTGGAACCGCGGCCAAGTGACAAAGGCGATACCCCAGCTAGCACCCCCACTCTTCAAACTTCACCACTAATCTAATGTGAGAACTTTGAGCCTCAATAGCCCCTCGACACGGCTGGCCTTTACTGGCACACTGACAAAGCCGAATGCAACCATTTCATCCATTTGAAGATTCCACGTTTATATATTATATTAATTTTACATTATTCTAATAGTTTTCTACATGATATATAGCACATATATCCTAATCATAATGTGAAATAAGAACATTTTTTTCCTTATATTGTGTAAAATAGAAATAAATGTATGTTTTTTCCCAAGAATAAATGAATTTTATTTTCATAAAGAATACAACTCGGATAAAATTGTTGGCTTAAGATTTTAGTCATGGATACATTCAATAACAACAAAATGGCAAAACATTTATTTTTTGAATTTTTTTAACGGAATATTTTTTATACACGATCCATAATGGTATAAATATGTGTTGGATTTTTTTTTTCATCCTTTTTTTCCCCTAATATATTTATTTTTTAAACGATATTAAACTTTGAAATTACAAATTTGTTCTAAATTATTCCAAAATAAAAAGCTTTTAACTACTTTTCTGATTTAAAAAAAAAAAAAAAATACGCTAAATCAATTAATGTCTCAAATTGGAAACGGTTAAAAAGGCATTGCTTTCACATTACTGACCTTAGAATGTTTGCATTCAGTTGAACAAATATTTGTGTATACTGTAATAAAAATTTATATATATATATATATATATTCACCTATTTCTTTTGAAACTTTGTCTTGATACAGACAACAGGTGTAGAACAAGTGTAGCTGTTTTCGTCTAACAGGGTTAGACGAAATATATAAGGGTTATATAAGGGTTGTAAACATTTATTCAATCATTTTTGGTACTGTTACACCGTAAATTTTTAATTGCAGGAATTTAAGTTTTCAAGTAGTATATTTTATACACACTAATTTTGGATTAACTTCATTAAAAACTATTTTTAATAAATGTTAATTAAAAAACTAAAATATACTTATTCAGTTAACATTAATTTCAATAAAAATAAGCTCTCTCTGTATTATGCTATACTCTCATAAGTGATAAACTTTTTTTTCCCATCCAGAGTGCTTGACTAACTCATAAGAATTTTTAAACCTGAGAATTATTGTTAATAAGGCATTTTGAGATTCACAGGATGCTATTTGGGTCCATATAAAATTAACGCGAAATAATAATCCAAGTTTGTGCTTCCTGCTTCTTCACATCCATGTCATTCTATAATAGTTTGTGATTATAAATAAGCAAGATTAATAAAATGTAGTGAATTTTCAGCACATAAATACTCCCGACTCATATTAAAACATCAATTTGTTAAAACTAAAAAATAATAGTTGAAATACCGTAAAATCCGACGTATATAACACGCACCCATACTTTAAAGCTGCAATATTTAATTTTTAGATTTATTCGACGTATAACGAGCACCCTATTTTTTACGAAGCTTGAAACGTACATATGCAATGCTCGTATGTTTTGAAGCCATTTATTCGAGGTATTATAGTAGGTTTTTGAAAAAAATAGAATACTTCTAGAAATGCAACCCTTTAAGTGCAAAAGAAATGTCATTTATTTTAAATAAACAGTATTTTGATATATATAGAAGTCTAATTTTTTTTTCTATGCTCATCTTTTTTCATTCTTAAGCTCTCATTTTTATACCCGGCGTATAACGCGCACCCGTAAATTTCGATCTTACCTTTGGTGTTGAAAGTGCGCATTATACGCCGGATTTTACGGTAAGTCAGAAATGTACACACATAGTACAGATTAACCCGGCCCCCCCCCCCTCCAATTGGGTTTTTCAGAGTTAAGCAATTTAAATGATGAAAGCTTTTGTTATTGTTTTAAAGTTCCTCCCCAAACATTATAAATGCAGAATTAAACGTATTAATTTACATAAACGCAATAACCAAAACCTGACTTTATACTTTCCCCCTTTTTTTTTCTCTTTTGTTTATAAACAAGTAATATAAAAAAAAATTGAGTCAATTCCTACTTAAGTCAACAAAATTTTTATTTTAATTGTTTTTTATTAAATAGTTACAATTACTATAAATATGTTACATATGACAGAATAAGTGACAAAACAGAAAGCGATTTTCCATTTTTCTTTCTATATAGGGTGTTGGACTATTTTTTTTATTTACTATTTGTTCATTAATTAAATTTAATTATTCTAATAAAATAGCATAGTAAAAAAAATCACATTCTCAGAAATTAGGCCATCCCAGGTGGGATTCGAAAGCACGGTCTTTGGATAAGAAATCCAAAGCGCTATCCATTGCGCGACAGGGACACAACGAACGATTTTCCTTTCTGTATATGCTGTTGGATTATTATCTTTGTTTGTTAAAATTTATTCATTTTTTAATTCAATTAATGAGTTAATATTTGAAAAAAACTGTATTACCATCAAGTGTCATCTAGTTTTAAAAAATGCATTTGAACTTGAATGGATGAATAGAAAATATTTTATTAACGACTGAAAATTTGAACAAGATATATATATATATAGGAAGAGAGTGAACTAATAGTAGGAATTGAAAAAAGTTTATCCAATGCATATTATAAGTAAAATTTTTATTTTTTTATGAATTTTGTTTAGATATACAGAGTTTCTACTCAAGAACAAAATGGAAAGCCTTTTCTTGCAATTGATACAAATTCTGAAAGGACTTTAAAATTCCAGAATGAGGCTCAAATCTTGTACGTCTGGTTACTATAACTTATTGTTGCAAATTTGCGTGAAAAGAAAACAGCCGACTACCAGAAGACAAATTGACATATATACACAAAGAAATATAAAAAATTATTTTTCTAGTAGTGGAAAACGCACACACTCACTATAAACAAACTTTTCAACGTTTCCCTTGAACAGCTCCATTAGCAGGAACTCAGACAAAGTCGCTCTGTCTTATCGCGGTCAACGCACAAGCAGATTCTGATCTTGACCGTTGCCTCAAAGGCCCCTTACAGAGCCTCATGGAAATTCACAGAAGGATTGGTCGATTCCACAGATTTCTCGATGATTCCTAGGCAATATCATTTTTCGCCAAAACCGATAAAGCCACCAATCTAGTTACCTTGCTCAGATTTTATTAGGTTGCCATAATCTTATTCTTCATGCTGGGAAGCGCCCTGTAAAACTCGAATTTTCCACAAGGAAAGCAACGCTGCAGGGAAGACAAGTAGTTTCAATATACAGGTCGCTAATCAACAGACTGTTGTCACAAAAATTAATCACCTATTACAATGTATTGAAAATGTCAACTCTGAAGGAAGGTAGCAACTTCAATGATTTTAAACTAGTTAGTTCTTCACAAGAAAATCCACAGAGAATATGAAGAATTTTATATGCACATTTTAAAATATTCATAAATCTAATATATGATGCAACTATAAAACATTTTAAAATATCCCCGTTTGTAAATTACATTTTAATTTTGTGAAAAACCGACTTCTAGCTACATTGGAAGGTTATGATTTACGAATCATCTATGAGGGACTTCATTATAAATATGATGGCAAACAATATGTTTCATAGTTACTTATGAAATTTCAGAATATTTTTCAATGTGGCCTCATCACCAACACAAAAGTTTCGAGTGTATTTTTACAGCCACGTAATTAACCTCTTCATAAATTTATTTCAGAAGTTTGTCATCATTAGTAGTGGAATCAGAGCTAATGAAAAGTAATGACACATCTGAATCCTTGAGAACACATCAATGTGACCCGCATATATCGTAACTGTACTTGATTTTAAGCCAACAAGTAGTATAACACAATTTCATTTTAATACAAGAACTAAAACAATAAAAAGATATATATTTCAACACTTGAAATTTTGTGTCCCATCCTACTTCTATATTTTCATTTAATGTAGCCATATTTACTTAGGATAAATATGGCTCACTAAGTCTTAAGTGAGCTTGGCATTATATGGGCAGACCATATTTGGTATTAACTTATTACGACAATATTAAGAAGGATCGAATTCTATTTTTCAGAATTTAAAAACCTACCTATGCAGAAAAGATGTTCTATAGCATATATATAGATTAATGAAAAAATAAAATTAAAAAGAAATTTCTAAGTACTCCACAAGGTGAATTAAGATATTGAGTATTTTTTTTATGGTATGATGTCAAAGTAATTTTAATTAAAATGAAACAGGCATTTTAGTTTTCATTGCAATGATGACATGCTAAATATAGTTACCAGAAAAAACAGTCGGGTACATTTAACAGCTGCTTTAGTAATAAATTTTTAAAAACCTAGTGTCAAAATTAAGTGCGTAATAAAGCAGAAAATTAAGAACAGCTTGGATCGTTCTGATTCGACGGCACAAGGAAAAGAAACTGGATTATATGAAATATATTTCAGTGAACATTGTACTACTCCCTACTCAGTAATCACATCAATTTAGTTATTTATATTGTAGAAAAATTGAGTTTCCATTATCATCCAACCAAAATTCTTTCCATTTTTATTCGAAAATTCAACTCCTTTGTGGCAATACTAAATTTTAAGACTACTTTTCCCCCTAATCTTACCAAAAAAAATATATTTTCTGCATTGGTAGGGTAGGGGGTTCTGATTGTAACCCCTACAAGTGTGTCTACACTAAGTTAAATTACAGTAATACCTTGACTTACACGAACTCCGGGTTCACAATTTTCAAATCTTGTCAATTCGTCTTTTGGTAAAAACTGCATTTTTTTCATCATTGAAACTCAAGTGGAATCAGTGTCAGAGCCTGATGAAATTGGCAATGTGATTGAAGATGTTGTCATCCTTGCCAAGTAAATAAATTTATAAATGGATAGTGATAATGTTCAAGAATTGCTGGATTCTCGCAGTCAGGAACTGACAATTTATGACCTCATAAAAATGTAAGAGCAAGGCATTGAAAAACTTGGAATCTTTAGACCCAGTTCAATCAAAAGATCGAATGATGGTTGGGTATTTGACAAAAAGACCTTAGATTAATTCTGAGAAAGGGTACAAATTTTCGAAAATATTAACTCTAGGGAAGAGCATATTTTTTCTACAAAACAAGGGATAAAAAAAATCATAAGCATGCCAAGAGGAAATTTAGTGTTCAAAAACAGCAGGCTACTTTGTCAGATGTTATGAAACAATTTACATAAAAATAACTTCGGTTTCGATTTTACCAAACATTATCCAAAAGATTTTACTATATTATTTTTCTCCATCTCCGGTCCCAACAAAAAATAATTTATGCATATTTACATTTGAAGTTATACCCCGACTAACGCAGTTATCATCAGTCCCACCTATGGTGCAAGTTCCGGGTATTACTGTACTTCAAAATAAATGTAGAATAATCAAAGTCAAAAGTTCCAAATTCAAAGACAGATGTTATTTTCTGCAAATACTGTCAGAATTAGGGAGTTTTTAATTTACTCTTCACATTAAAACTTGTTAATGCTTCTAATAAAATCACCAAACCATAAGGAAAAAAAAAAATGTATGATTATGTATTCACAAACACTCCATTTAAAAAAAAAAAAAAGGACAATACACAAGGATTTTGAACCTTACTATAGACAAGCATTTGGTAAAATTCTGACTTAGCCATGATAATTAAGTTCTCACTTTTTACAACCAAGCTGGTGTCATGAAAATTTAATATTTAAACATAGATTCTTATTTTTAAATTTTATCCTAGTCAATATGCATGGTTCTAAATTCTGTTTTCAAAATGCAATGTCTCAAGTTCAGTCTCTCAGCTCTATATTGGATTTCTTATTTCCAGTTAGCTTGAATTACAGATAATTAAGTTCCATTATATAATGTATAACCCTTTTCTTCCAATTCGGTTCCATCAAGCATTTTATAGAAAACTATTTTTATTTATCAAATTAGTTTTTATTCCTTAAAATATATTAGATTTCAATGAGTGGATAAGAAATCTATACATGTAGAATCTCAAATATGTAAGTATTTCATTTTTAAAAAATTAAAACTTGTGTCAGCAATTTTTTTTTTTAAACAGAATGATTTAGGAGAAAATAAAATGTTTTGTATCTAATATTTATCCTAAATTTAATATAATAAACATTTTCAAAATTTTAAAATAATTTTTGTTATACACATTTGATACGATACACATAGTGAAACAAAATATTATACAATACTGCACAAAGCTTATTTTTTTAAAGTTACAAAATAAATTTAGAAATTACTAAATTTGTTAAACTGTCACTGAAATAAATAAAAATATATTATTTTTCTGGTTAGCATTTATTTGTGTATACTTAATTACCTCTACTAAAACTGCTTCAATTTATTCTTAGTTTTAATGGAAAAATGGGTCATAATAAAAAAAACTGATACACCACTAATTCAAACATGTTGTATTGGACAATTCTATAAAGAACCAACAATTTTACCATTAACTTTAGAAATCTTCACTATTTAAGAGTTTCCCTAATACAATGTGATAATTTCAAACATTTTCTTTTTTATGATGAAACTTTTTAATCATAACTCTTTAAAAATATTTCTTTATCCATTTTGTAACAAATCTACATAGTCTTTAATGTTTAATAATTCTCAAATCTAAATTAAAATTTCATAATCCCACAAAAAAAAAATAAGACATTCAATGTCTCAAATTGATTTGGGTTCAGCATGTTACATAATTTGATTTTACACTATTCTAAAATTTAAAATGATAAATTAAACAATCATATTTCAAAAAATCTTTATTTGCAAAATTAAAAAATAACAACTAGATGAATTGTAACTTCGTACAACTAATGGTCTGTGTTTTAAATGCATTTATATAAACATCCATATGCAATTAGTAAATGACATATTTTCTACTCTGAAATGAATCGATATTTTTTACAGATCCATTTGATTCAATAGATATAAATATGAACTTTAATCACTCCATTTACCAAGAATATCACTATCTCTGAAAATATATAATTCCTAAAAAAGAGGAGAAAAAAAATCAAAATTAATAATTTTATAACATTTTGTTCATGCATTTCTCAAACAAGACATTCACAATAATCTGAATGTTAATGGTATTTAAAAAATTTTTTATCAGAAACTTAATGTCTCATGATTACCTAATTTTAAATACCTCAGTCTAATATATGCCATCTAGGAAATACTTAAAAACATACACAAATTTGAATATTAATTATGCTAACTGATACAGATTCATAATATATAATGCATACATCTTCCAAAGGATCCATAATACTCGAATGTCTCATTATAAACTAGTTCATAGATCTTGGGACAAAAACTTCA